TTTTATTAAAATAAAATCTTAAACCACTAATTGATAATTTAAAAGTTAGAAGGAGCACGGCGATTTAGAAGTTTAGATAAAAAGTGGCTAAACTCGAGATAAATTATTTTTTGCAAACGTCCTCAGATTTTACTGCGGAGTTGCAACTTTTCATTTGACTGTCTGTGATTTCTTCAATTTTACATTTTAGAATATTTGTGGCCCTCTGGCACAAGTTGCGCTTGTGGGCGATGAGTTTGCAGGGAGATGTATGGTCATTGAATTATGAATGAATGAGTCTGACCTTGAAGATATGCGCATGCGTTTATGAATGAATTTGTTATTGTTGTATTTTAGTCGCATATGCGTATATGGACATACATACATACGTCTATTTGCATGAATGCATGTAGATTTGTTAGGACGGAAATCGCATGAGTACATTTATACAAATTGGTGTAAATTATTTATTGATTTGAAATGTTCACTTTATTATTACATATATTTGGGCAATTCACAAGGTGTTGTGAAGTTATATTTTTCTAACAAAAGTTGTGTTAAAACACGACGGTTGTGAACACCTGTTACGATTATTTATTATATCTCAGCACTTAACCTCACATAACACCGAATAAACATAGGTTGCAGAGTTGTATCGTCATGTGTTATTTTTCTTCACAAAACAATAACAACATTTTTACAACTGTCATGAAATATCATGACTTCACGACAAACACGACAAATACGACACCTTGTGAATTGCCCAATTGTATTTGTTAATTAAAAGGTATATTCATTCATAAATAACAACTTTACAACTTTCATATTAAAGAGGAAGTTTGTAAAGCTCTTGCATAGCGAATGCATTTAATTTGCTTACATTTGTTTAGAATTACAAAATAAAGAAAATCTACGCACACGCGCATGTTAAATGACCACGGCAAATAAACAAAAAGCGTCGCGGCCATCTTGTTTGCTATTTCATTTCTTTCATTCTATCATCGGTCGCTCTTTCTTAAACGTTCTTTGTCGCCGCGAAATCTAATGTGCGGCGAATTCATTTACGAAACTTGATGTCAAAACGGACGCGAATGCCTCTTGCAAACCTTCCAGACTCACTCGCCACACTTCAGCGAGTTGTCTCTTCTTATAGATTTACGATCTTTGGTAATGTATAATTTAAAAGTATTGTTCTCTTTGCAAACATGTTTACTTGCCGACAAACAACATTGAATGAAAATCGGCAACCGATCCTCTAGTGTGTAGCGAAACGAGTTGAAACCGATTGCTCCGATCTGGGGATCACGTAACTTTGAAACGATACTCGTTCAAACGATACTGACAAAACGACCTCGTAAAAACACTGATTTATGCATTTGTGTTGCTGTTACGTATTACTATTATATTACATTTACATTGGACCAAAATGCGTGATTTGAAATCAGTCATTTGAAGGTGTTTACACTGCTTGATCCGCATTTGCTTTGACTTCTCATCAAATGAAAAGGGAAGACAAAAACAAAATGTATGTAAACACACACTACATTTATTATATTGTTAACGCTTTTTGGACACAAAAAGGCAATTATTCTTTGATTAAACTAAAAATGTGTAAAGCTCTTGTATAAATTAACAATTTTTACACACAAATTTCAAAGATTTATTTATTTCGTTGTGTTTGTTTTGTGTTTGAAAAATTCCAAATGTCAAAGACAAACCAAAGCTTTTGTGGAACTTTTGTTTCTGAGTGCGTTCAATAAAATAGTACGGCAATTGGAACGCATTTGTTTCGTGATTTTGTGTAAATGCGTCGAAATGCGTCATTCTGGAAATGTGAATTTGTATGGAGAAATGCGTGATTTGGCCTCGCATTTGAGGTTTCTCGCCCAAATGACGCATTTGGGCTCAATGTAAATGTAATATTACTGTTACGTGAAGCAAAACTGGAATCCAGTTGACGATGCAACACAAGCGATCAAAAAATTTTTGGTTTTCGTGAAGCAACACAATCTCGACACGATATCGTTTAGACGATTGTCGTCATACGTGATTCATGCCCTATTGCCTGTCTGTAGCACGCTTAAATGATATGTCTGTCGGACTATCGATAGTACCTA